AGTCGACATAGTAAAAATGTTATGTTGTCATGGCTTCCGTAGGGGAAAGATTGGAGAATGGTTGATAAACTTTATGCAGAGGTAATGGTATAGTTAGACTCGGATATACAGACACAGAATTCTTTGAGATTAAACAGGGAGTAAATGTAAAGGAAGGCTGCGTCTTGTCCCCAATATTGTTTAACATTTTTATGAATGAATTTTAAAAGATTCTTGTTTCAAATGATCTTGGTATCAGAGTGAATGACACGTGGGTAGGGGGATTATTCTGGGCTGATGATGTTGTCTTATTAGCAAATGATGAGCATGAAATGACAAAGATGCTCAATCTTGCAACATTATTTGCTAAAACATGGAATTAAATTTTAATTTAGACAAATCTAATATTATAATTTTTGGAAAAAGAATTGATAAAGTAAAACAATGGAAGTTATTGTTTCATTGTTATAGTGGAGACGTACAAATATCTTGGAGTTAATATATCCAGAAAGTAAATGATAATGTTACAATTCCAGAAAGTGCAATAGCCTATATGGCTTAGGCCCATATTAATTCATTGATTGATAACTGCAATAATTTTAATAGGATATTTATGGGGATAGGCCTATTTTATGGAGAACAATGAATTGGTCTCCCATCTATAAATTATGGCAATTATGTATAGTGAACTTGGTGGCTGCTAATATTGGCAGCCGGTATTTCGCGCATAAAATATTTTCATCGCAATACATATGGAATCACATCGGTGGCCAAAACTTTTACTTAAGGCTTTACTACACGTGGATAGTAACTTTGATAATTTCCGTTTTAAATCTCTTAAATGTGTTTCCAATGTTTTCTCAAAATGTGAAACAGAAAATTTATTTAAATTAATATGTGATATCATTGATTAGCCTATCCCATCGGAAATGGGACCAACTTAATTTTGAATAGGGCCTAAACGTAAAGAACACGTTTGTACTGATAAGTAATCTTGAACAAAAATCTTCCCTTTCAGATTACTCAATTATTAACGAAAGCCCTTGCCTAGAAAAATATTTACTTGAAACTGAGGGTGCTTGCATAAAATTTAGATTATGCTCCAATACCTTACCTCTACAAAGACGAATCTCAAGTTGGTACAATAATAATGATGGCATTTGTTCTATTTGTAGCTCTGATTCAATTAGACATTTTCTTTTTTCATGTCCTTTCCTCCATAACATCAGATTGGAAGGACTAGCAAAGCTTGAACATGAAATAATAAATACAAATAGGCCCCCTAGGCCTGTTGCGAACCAATTTATAACTTCAACAACTGATTAGAAGACGTATGTTCTTGGCTCTTTTTCACTAAATCTTCCAAAAGAAATTGAAGAAAAATTTGACATGTTTTGTAAAAAGTGTGCTAGAAGAGCATGGAAAAAGAGAAATGAAATCAAAAAAGAAAATGAACGTTTTTGACTTTAGTCCTGTATTATTTATATGACTTTTGATTTACTTTATGTTAATCTGAATTGTCTTTTTCTTAGCATAAGTCTTTTTTGTGAACTTTACTGTACACTGTATTGTTTTTGACGCACCTTCTATTGAGAAGTGAGCCACTGATTATAAAGTGTAGTTCCTAATAAATTATTATTATCAAAAATGTAGCACTGACAACTATATGCATTTTCTTGCCATTTTAAGACTAGAGAAATTCAACTTTCTAGAGTCATCGTCAGGTATCCAGCACACTCTTATCAGCTGCTGTTGCCGCACGTGTAGCCACCGAAACTGAATGGCAAAAATCGATGAAGCGCTGGTTACGCTTCACTTAACACAGCCAACTGTTGAAAGTAAATCCCATTGAATTCACGATACTACCAAATTACCTAATTAAAGTATCGTTTTGATTTTCAAGAAAATATTCACAACAATAATATACTCCTTATTAACACAAACAATGATATTAAAATGTAGCAACAGTTAATCATTTTGTTTGACAATCTAAAGGCCCATATTAAAAATATATTGATGTTTTAATTACTGTAAAGTTAGTTTTGTTGTTAGCCTGCCTATGCCTTTTACTTTATATTAACAAACGAAAGCGGTAAGAACGTAAGTGAAATCATTTATTGACTTCCAATTAATACAAAATTGACATCAAATGTATATATACCTCCTTTATATTACTTAATTACACAGCAAACCCTGGAAAAAAAAAGATTTTGTACTTAACTTATTAAAGTACTATATATTGGCATTTATAGAGGGCGATGTTGATATAATTGACATCTACAAAGGCAGGGAACTAATAAATTGTTCATTACTTTTCGACAACTGTTACTGCGAAAATTGCATTGCTGTGTCATCTTTTTTATTAGTTTTTCAAATTAGTGTCACTCGCGTATTTCCGTGTGGTGCATCAAAAATACAGTAAAGAAAAAAAAACCAAAACAAATGAAGCAAATCTTAAACTAGAAACACAATTCTAAATCCATTAAAGAGACATTTTACATGTTATGTTGTGTTTTATACCCTAAAACGATTAAGAAACTAAAATTCTAACTACAAGGGGTAACTATAATAATTTGTATTATTAATTTATTAGTATTATTTATTTCATTTAAACAACTATTTTCTTAATTGTATTAGATACTGTTTATCCATTTAGGATATTTCATAAATACAATCGTTAAGCCTACACTGCAATGTACTGAAACTGTAATAAATAAGAGGAGGAAGGCAGTGGCGGCGCCAGCGGGGACGCCAGCTTTTGGGGGGGGGGTGGGGCGGGGGCCTGGTACTAACATCATCGTCCATCCTCCACCACTTCACTGCCATGCCTGCAATGTTGTTTATATAATATATTGCGCCATATGCAAAAAGGTATCCACGTAGGTGAAACGCGGGTTGTAAACTCCGTTTAAGAAGCAATAATCACAAGAAATCTGTCAGGGATAAACTAAAGGGTTTTCCCTGTAAGTGAACACTTTAATTCTACAGACCATTCCAGATTTAGGGCTGCACAAGGGAGGGGGACGCTCCCAGTTGTCCCTCCAAAAATCATGCCTAAGTATTTAAAAACCACTTGGCATGGAACTATAAATTGTTTATTACTTTTCGACAACTGTCACTGCAAAAATTGCTTTGCTGTGTCATCTTTTTTTATTAGTTTTTCAAATTAGTGTCACTCGCGTATTTCCGAGTGGTTGTATGTTCAGTTCACACTGAAGAAGGTTGCAGGGACGAAAAAAAATATATTATTATGTTCCTGAAATACGTCAACCCTTGTTTTCTGTCACTTGTGATCAGTCTCACTATATATATTAAAAGATGTGTATAAGAGACAGCCCTAGCTGAGTCTATTAGGAGTCGCAACGAGGCCTCGCCAACCTCGAAACCAACAGGAACAGGAGAGGGCGACTGACGAAGGGGGGCCCCCCGGTTTTAATTCTGAAAGACGAATCATACCCACCTGCATGTTAAATCACATTCGATAACAATTGATGTTATTGATATTGATACTTATCATGATAAATTAATAAAATAATACTGTTCTGGCTACACTTGATGTTTCGTCATTATATACTAATATCCCTCATGAAGAAGGTGTTAATGCGTGCATTTCAAATTACAAGCAAATTCGGGGCAAAACCCCATCTAAATCACATCTACGTGAACTTATGTGAACTCTTTCAGTAATAAAACCAACGACACAGAATTAAAATGAATGGAATGCTTCATTCCTCAAACAGAATGCGGCTTAAAAACTGTTTTGGTTTCACATACTTAACAATGAATTAGAAAATGACGTTATCTTGTACCACCCGATGGTTACTAGGTGATATTGTAACCATAGTGATTAAAATCGTGCCTTTGTTTTTCTCTTTGTTTTGTGAATTAATTTCTTTTTACCCTTTTGATGTTTCCTTTTGTCTGTTTGAATTATTTTATTTTTTATGTAAATTTTTCCTGGTTTTTTTTTAAAATGCAGTTTTTATTCTTAAATGATCGTTAAATAAAAGCCGCCACTCCATAATCACCATCATTATCATCGTAATTGTCAACATCATCACTGGCTATCATTCTTGTATCTTAAACTAGTTCTCCGTGCTAAAGTGACGTATCTAGGAGTATTGACGTGGGTGGGAAGCTGACGAGGGATCTGATGGGGTCGTGAAGAAAGCCTAAATTTGGGCTCCATAATTGTGAGGAATTGGAGTGAGGCGAGGCCCCTTATATCTACAGACTGGCTAGCAACACTGTTCACAAACGAACGCCAAAGCACAATAATAATCATTCATTCATTCATTAATCAATTTATTTATTTTATTTAAAAACTTGCATTTTGCAAAAATAAAACATAATTACACGTGATTTGCAAATAAAGAAATAGAAAAAGAAATAGAGGAATAATGTCCATTACAAAACCATTATGAAGCACAATTGAGAGATGCCTATTTTATTCTAATTTAATTTACGGAACATGAGAATGTGACCATTCCAGGCCGTAGCCAGGATAGTCAAAATGAAGTTTTTTTTTGTGATTTCATAGTGAAATTTGTGACTTGAACAGGAACTACAGTAAAATGTATTCAGTTGAGCTGTAGTTTTGAAAAAGTGTTGTTATATAGTGTGAAAAAACTGCATCCTACTGGAATGATTTGGGCAGTGCTATTTTAAATATACAGGAACCATGAGAAGTAGCACTGTCCACCTTCTTTATCCCGCTGAATGTACAGTCGGTCAAGGTATAATTCTTAAAAAGAAACGACATTCTAAAATAATAAAAATATATATAAAAATATATATAAAATATATAAATTTCGGCATTTAAGTATCAAGATTAGGTTATATAAATTTTCAAGCTTACAAAATATACAATAATTTACAAATATTAAATGAGAAAGTGTTTACTAATTTGTATAATTCCATTATATTATTATATTATAAACAAAATATATTGTATAATTTATAAAGCAAATTTAATGTCCCAAAAATTTGATTCTATGGTTAAAGAATAACTTCATGTATTTTCTTAATACCATATTATTGCCCTAGGATACGTGCACTGTGGCATTTACTTTATTGAGTGTCATAATCAGTGGCGTAACGGCTATGAGCTCTCACTGGCTAAAGCCAGGGGCCCCGGAGCTTCAAGGGCCCCCAGCAAATTCCAATATATTTTTTTTAACAAATGAATAACCAAAGCCCTTTTTCAAGCCAAAGTCTGTGGAGATACAGATATGTTTATTAGTGATTATTAGTTTAAATTAAGTATGCTTTATGTGTCAAATCACGATATATAAACTTAGAATTTGAATGTGTAAACAGGCATTAAAATATGTCATAGAACGCTAACTAAGAACGCTCTTCACTTCCCCCCGCCCCTAGCTTGTGGGCTCCTAAAGGGCCCCTACCCAGCAGCCTCCGATCCCTTTGTTACGCCGCTAGTCATAATGGCAGTGGTTGAGGTTTTGCTCTTCCTAAAGGGAGCGGGGGAACAGCTAGCCCCTGGCCTAACCACTGTGTAACCGTCTTTTGAAATTGTTGGTACCAATGTGTATCTACAAATGTTCTTCTTGCATTATAATTAAGTTCCCTAGTAGTATTTCTGGAGTGCTTCAGCAACAGCTGCCTTTCCAAGTTCTTCCAATGCATCACACATCTTTCCAAGGTGGTTAACTCCAGCTTTTTGCCTTTCTCGCCACTTGACTAGCATTTCCAGACTTGCATCCACAGTTGGTGGTGAAAAGTCCAGTTCAATTCTTTCTATTTCAGGTTCCATCAGACCAATGATGCTTCCAAAGGATTTCCAGTTCTTGCCAAGCTCCTTGGCAATAAATTGCATATCAATGTCTGCCAAGAATCCTGAAGGAAAAGCAAAGACATCAATATTAAAACACTAACATTGTAGACTTCAGTCTTGCCATGACAGACATTGGTAAAATGTATACATCATTTTATCGGGCGTACATCGAAACAGTGCCACCAACGTCTACAGCAAAAAGATGACAGAAGCACTTAAAAGTGATATTGTGGATGTATCATAATATCAATCTTTTGTTCCAATATGAACATTCTAAAAATTACATTAAAAAATATATTTTTAAATAATAATGGTCAAGTTGAGTGACTGAGTGGTAAATCAGGGGCTTTGCTAATTAAAGCCTTAACATTGGTGCTGGATGAGTCACTCCTTGCCCAGGTTTCGGTTGGTAGAACCAAGTTGTTGTTTGTCGTGTCAAGAAAACAAATGGAACATGCGGATACAGTTAATTTACACAATAGTAATGATCTGGTATTTGGTAAATATTTCTCTATTACTTTCACAATATCATATTGTTCATGCCACAATCTCTGCTTAGCCCAAGGCACCTTTACTACTAATTTGTTGATTAAAGTTGTTTCAAGTTCTTTATGTATGTTGGTAGTATGCAGCGATCTTGTTATAATTTTCAATCTATGCTGCCTTCAATGTTGTGAGTTGATTTATGTTTCTCTCTGTTTCTCCATCGGAAAAGCATCTCTAATGCGGCTTTCACAATCTGTTTCTGAAATTTTGTATCTACAGTACAAACTGGTAGGATGTTGAGGCATTGAATGTACTAGTTTTGTGTGCTAAAGTAGGCAGCAAATGACTAGGGATATTCCCCAGGGAGCAGAGAATGTTGCCCTTTGTGCTGGTTTGCCATTTTGTATAAAAACGCTTGTGCCTTTGATCATTCAATTTGAAATTGGTGCCTTATAAATATTTGGGTATTACCATTATTATTATAATTACCTGGCCAGAAAATGTTTTTTTCAATTTAATTTTCAATTAAAAGCTAATAATATATTAAGCCATTAAAATGGTTGTTTTTTGTCATTTTCCGCACTCTGATATGATTTAACAATATGCATTTTTGTGAAACTAAACAAACTACACAATAAAGAATAATATTAAAATGATGTTTTTAAGATTAAATTAATCAAATGAATATTTTATCATGAATAATGCATTACTAACCATCGTATTCTCTCGTATCTTCACCTGCAATTGCATTGGCTTCTTTAACCTCTGACAATTGAGAGCCAAAGATTTTGTTGGCAAGCTCTGTGAGTCCTTGTTCCTTCAAAGCTCTGCACATAATCTCAACTTGATTTTTCTCGTAGTTTTGTTGTTTCCTCCATTCTGTCAGCATATCCATTATGCTCTCTGGCAATCGTCTCTTATCACTCCATATTTGTTGGATCCTGTTCCAACTGAGACCCAGTCTGACGCCCAGTTGTTTCCACTCCATTCCCATGCCCTCTGCGATACGAAGCAGGTGCTTGTCTTCAAGATAACCAAGACGTTCATCTGAAGTGAAAATTAAAGTTAGTCTAGCACAATAAAATAATTGGAATAATAACATTACTGTAACCAAAATAATATAATATATTAAATTAATAATTATAATAATACCTAATAGTCATATAGCTGTCTTAAAAAAAATAATTTATGAGACACAAAATAGTAATAACCTCTGAAACACTAACCTGGTGGCGCTGTTTCAGAATCGCTGGAACCTGCTGCTGGCATTGAAGAATCTACAAATGAATTAAAAACAATTTAATACAGAATCAAATGACTAAAATTGACTGCTGTCTATCACATTACATTGACCAGGACAAAATCAGCTCACATAAAGTTGTAATGGTGAATTTATACTAAATCAGAAGTGGGCATAGGCCATCTGCAGCCCAACAACAGTTTTATTGCCACCTCGAAAAAAAAATAAAAAAATTTGAAAAAGCAGTATGCAGCAAACCATCTTCAGTTGGAAAAATTTTTGTTGGTATCAAGCACGTTATAATTTCTGGGATAATTTTTGAATTTTGCCTCTCTGTTTGCTTTACAATAGCTTTTGATATGAAATAAATCAAATAAAATCAAAACTAAACATAAAGGGTTGTAAAAGCAGTGCATGAATGTTGTCAATCAAAAATTTAGTTTGGCCCTCTGACCATTTCTATCCCTTTATTACTGGATAAAGCTTTCAATATTAAACATTGATTTCCAAGGAGCAATTTCTAAATTTAAAAAAAAATCTATTGTAAAATAAAAAAAAAAACATAATACTAGTATAGCAGTCAGGGAAATCAAACAAAATAGACAAGTTAAAATTGAATAACATATATATATATATACAGATTTGATATAGAGTAATTAAATTCTGAGATTAATACCAAGTGGAATTGGCCAATGAAATGTTGCCTGTATTTATACCTAATTAACATTTTCATGAGGTACAGTAAACTGCTATCTGGTATTGCTAGTTTTCCTTTAGTTTATGTTATTTACCTGTCACTAGTTGCTTATTCTTGAACATCCTCTGTAGTTTGGCAGTGGTTACTAATTTCTTAGAGCATCGGATATAGACATTTTCAAGGCACTCTTCCAAATCGTGGAAGTGCATTTCTCGCAAACCTGTCCAGCACAGCACACGGAACTTATAACGTGTGTGCTTCATTCCAGATGTCAGCACTTCCATCTCTTTCTTCAGAAACTCTAACACCTTGAATGAGGATTTTTTAAATAATTTGAAAATTACATTGAAAATATTACAAAATATATTAAGAAAAAATATATTTATTGAAAGGAAAAAATCATAAAAAACACTGGTTTCACAATTTGTTTTGTTAGATTTTATGATTTAATTGACTTGATATGCTCAATGATAAAATACAACAATTTAACAGGCAATAAAAAGGAGTAGATCCAGAATTTTTTGAACAGGGGAAAGGGGGAGTGGAAAGATTTTGTTTTCTAGTGTGTCTTATTTCAATACTTAACATTGTATGTACTAACATTTTAAAATCTAGAGGCAAAATTGGGGAGGGGAACACTTTCAATGCATAGAAACTGTATCAAATATGCACTATATAAATACACATCTATTACCATTGCCTGGAAAACTCTACTAATGCCTACGATTCTCCAAGTAATATCACTAATAAAGAACATCACCACTGATTTGTGTAATTTTACAGTTGTTATTTCAATTGCAAGATATCATTTATCAAACTAGATTACCTGCATACAGATTCTAGGACTGGGTTCACCTGTTGATGTCTTGGTATTGTCCTCGTGAATGATAGGCGTTCGTGATATTTCCAGCTGAAATACAAACATTAAAATCAACCAACAATTCAATAGTGTATGCCCCGAATCTAGGTAGGCGTAATGCGAAATGCAAAGTAACAAGCAGTGAAGGGGGTTTGAGATTTTTGTCTAGAAACTTCTACAAAATTGCTATTTTAGAGTACCATGCTCCACCTTTTTTCTCTTTTTCTTGTTACAATTGTATTTAATATTTTCTTTTTGTGGGGGGCTGGGGGGGGGGTGGGGGGGGGGGGGGGGGGGGGGGGGGTGGTTGTGAGTGGCTTAGTGACGGCCACCAGGATCTGCTGCTGTAAAATACACTCCTTAACACTCTAACAAACAAAAATTTTGCAACATCTAAATAACTCATAGAAAAACACTACTTAATTTCATTACCAATCACTCAAATAATTAGTAACTAAATGACATCACTGAACGTCTTACCTTCAATGAGGGCTTGTTATTAATGACTACTGGTCCTAAGCTGAGAGTGTGTTCAAGTCCTAGGCTGATGTCTGCATAGTTGCTAAATAATTCCAGCATGGCTGTGTAGCCCATGTCTTGTACCATTCCAATCAAGCTCACAACTAGAGGATGGAAGACACTATCAGGGATGAAATCCTCGGAGGCCACGTAGATAGATACCATCTGAGCTGTGTCCGGTTCAATAGACACATTGTCCTTGCTACGTTTCAATCGACAGGGTACGAAAAACGAGCGATATTTGCTTGCCTGATGCTTGAGGAAACAAAGAAATGAATTCCATTTAAAGGTAGAAAAATAAGTATGAAGACATTTTACCAGCTTTTTAGATCAAATGTGAGGTCTCACTACAAAACGAGTATCATTGTTAGAAAATCAAAAAATGAGTTTATATTATATTTTGGTAGACCACATTATAAGCTTTAATTTGGTCTTTGAATGGCTTCCCTAGGATAAATAGATAGATCCGGAGATAACAAATAAAATATAAATATAAAATAATTTAAAATGGTCTTTTTTTAAAAAAATAATTTCCTGCATTTCTTTTTACAATTAAAAGTTGAAATCTAGTCATCACTATGCACTTACACTAATATTTATTTTTTTGTAAATAAAGTCCTATTAGGATTAATTGCTCTGTGCAGGTCAATTAAATATTAACTACCTGGATCGCCAGTAATTCTGTAAACTCTCAAAGTATTTGCGAAAAAATGGGTAAAAAAAGCAATACCTTGATCTGCTCGCAGAGCAGTCCAAACTGCTTCATCAACTCCAAGTAGACCTCAATGCTAGATTCATCTTTGCTAATCTCATCTCTCCAAAGATGTCTGACTAACTCTTCCTCCAGTATACCTTCATTATCAAGTTTATTCCACAGCTTGATCATTGAAGCCCACTGAAAATAATGATAATTTTAAACCTCTTATCACTCTGTGGTGTCTGGCAGGGAATGACATCTGGCAGGGAATTTCTACTTAACTCACCTTATCAATGTCATCAGGATCCACCACTGTTATGATTTTCCTGAAGATGTCAATCAGCTTCCGTGGGTTTGTTATCACTGTGTCCTTCAGTAGTTTGTTGTTCTCAAAGTACAAAATGATTCCAAGATCATGTAGGTAGTTGAGGGTGTGGATCAGATTCTTCACGGAAATTCCACAGCTAGTGGCGACTTCACAGACCTTAACATTTAAATTCAAAAAGTGTAATATTAATAAAAATAAAATGTGGAAGTGCAAACAAAACACTATTGTCAACCATTAAAAAACTAAGTTTGGGGAAATTGCATTTTTCTTGGATGGATACTAAATGGAGTGTCTTTTATAGGGGGGACATGGAAGAAGTTGAGGTTAAGTATTAAAGAATTCTTTCTAATGTTTATAAACATTTTAGGCAATGATTATATACCTTAGAATAACTCATTCGCACTTCTGTCCTACCATTCTCCTGCAAAATATGCTGGAATTCAAGCCATTTCAGTGGGATGGTTTTGGGCATTGCTTTCAGAAATTCACCAACATCTTGTTTAAGTGTTGTCAGCATTTTGCTTTGCGTTGGAAACTTGTTGTCGATGGCATACATTTTCCTCACCACGTGACATTCATACGGAGTGCCTTTGATTTCTTCAAATATTACTGCAAACTGTTCTTCAATCTGAATAATTATATACAAGCATTACACATTGTTCAAATTGTTAATAATTAATTAATTATGTCATTAAGTTCAGATTACATTTTACCTTCTTGTTCTTGTCTTTATCGGTCCCAGGTAGGCTCTCACAGTGGGTACCAACTACTGCAATTTGAGGTTGCTTGGCTTGTAGCTGCTGCTGTTGGGACTCAACTGGGACAGCGTACGTAAATATCAACCTCATCCAGTATTTGATGATCTGTATATTTGTCATATCGTATGTCATCACATTTTTGTCCTGAACAGAAAAGAAAATGACATGATATTTATCAAGCATGATGACATACAGAATTCAACATGTCATAAAATTTACATGAAATCTGTTTTGTAAATATTTCATTAGTAAAATGATAAGAATTGGTAGACTTACCCCCTTATAGATTCTTTTCTTCCCTTTGTCGTACATACTTTCCAGCAAATTGAACAAAATCACATACACTGCTTCGCTTGTTAAGAATATCTAAAATATAATGTGAAAATTGGTAAAAAGTTAACACATAACACATTTATTGATGATCTAGATTATCTTTTAATTATTAAATTTAACGATTCAGTTTACCAATTTTATCATTGAGGCCTATAAGGCAACCCGCGTATAAAACAACCACAAGTTTGAGTAGCTGTATCAACGATTTTCTGTATTTTGGGCGGATAAGACGACCCCCTGTTTCAATGTTGGAATCCATAATTTTTTATCTGCCCTTTATGGTCTTTATTCTGCATCTGCTGACTACAAACGGAGACAAAATTTAGGCTAATTTTCAAAATAATACAATTTTATGGGCTTTTAAATGTTAATCAAATTACGTTCATTCATGCTAACATTTATTAGGTTCACTGCAGTAGTGAATTGGCATGTTGTGGATGATCCTCACATACAGTAAGACAAACATGATTTCAAAAATCTATTACTTTGTATGTCGTGCATATAAGACGACCCTCTGTTTTTCGATGTTAATTTGCTTTTTGAAGCCTTGTCTTACACGTGAGAATGTACGGTGAAATATCTAGAACTACTTTTCTATATTCATGATGATCTAAATTTATCTTTCAATGACATTTTGTACCTTTTTAGAAATCACATGTTCATATGCCACTTTGTCGAAGTTGGAATGCAGCAGTGTTGTAGGAGGGTTTCCAAGACTCCCGGAACTAGTGGGAGTCTCCCGGAAATCAGAACGGCCTCCCACACTCCGGCAAGAACCCAGGAATCTCCTGGAAATTAACTCATTTCCACAAACTCATAATTGTGCATGTTTTCATTGCTTTGTTATCAATATTATCATTGAAGTCAGTGTCAATGTGTATCACTATGTCCAGCAAAATATAAGTAAATGTGTTAAGAAAGCTCATTAACCAGATCAGTGGCAGAAAATTATATTCAAATTTAAGTCTGAGAGGGCCATTTCCAGCAATCTAGAGGTGCCATAATCATAAATCTGTGAAAGTCAGTCCCTGAACTCATGTGTCATTACATAACATTGATAATAAATATTCTTAAAGTACTTACTCGATGTGTGATGTAGTACAGCTGCTGGCCAGCAAAGTCCCAGATGTAAGTCATATCTTTGTTATCAATGGCCTGTGAGGTCTTTCCAGTAATTCTATCAACAAGTCTTTCCTGAATTTCAGATGGAAGTGCTTGGCTTGATACTGATTAAATAAATTCAAATATTAGCAAAGGGTGGTAACAATATAATTAGGATAATAATTTGGAAGTAATGATCACAGTATTGAAAATAATAGTCAGACAATAAGTTTATCCATGTTGATCGTAGGGGTCATTCACAATTATCAAAATTTCAACAAGTGAACATACAGTAAGGAGAAGGGGTGGTATTAAATTATGTACACTTTTATATATGCACAAAACTGTTGTTCGAAATTACCTGCAATACTAAAAATAATTGATTTTATGACCAATTATAATGCAACCAGGTTCATAAAAATATTTGTATGCATTCAAGCATATTACTTCAGTTTGCTACACAAAATGAATACAATGGTTTCGCAAGAATCAACATTTTTCTGTACACTGTCAGGGGAAGGGAGAGTGTACCGAAAAAGAGCACTGTTAACATATGAAAAAAATATAAATATTATTTTTTTTAAATATTGATTAAATGATAACAACCTTCTTTGAGTTCTGTTTTTATTGGTCCTGACATCACATCATACTGTGTATAAAAATATAAATAAAACAATTAATAACACATTGTTGAATACAAAAATATAAAGGATTGACATTTCAGCTCCATCATGGACACATTCTCAAGATCAAGTGAACTAAACACATAAAACAATCCAAGTATAGGTAACAGGGAGGTTACAAACATTTACCTGATTAACTACTGCATTTACATAAAACTAGAGCAAGTTAGCTTCATCATGAAATGATTAAATGATGATAAAATAATTTACTATTACGTTCAATAGACAATTAGTATATTTAATCAATAAATTTTACTTCATTACCAAAGTGTGCTCCGTGAGACATATCCAAACAGGTATTTGAATAGAATTGTGGAAAATGAGTCTGGTTTCTGTTTACTCAGTGTTTTTGACACTTTTTCATACCCTAAATGTTTTGATATTGTTCTATTTTTTAAGGATGTCCTATCATAATTTTGTGTGACACTGTTACAAGAGTTCATATAGAATAAATTTGACTTTTATTGATGATTTGCCTAACTTCCTTTTTAATTGAACCAAGATAGTGATTGTAGCGCTAGTGTCCTGCATAATAAGTCATGGTTCTTTAATTATTCTGTCCAGGAAGTTTTATTACAAATGAATGCTGCAAATGAACAACTGGATGAAAACATTTTTATACTGATAGTTATTGTTGGACAACAGCAGCTACAACTTTCTGTACTCAAAAATAAATTGTGAAAATACACAATAATGGAAAATACACGCTAAAAGTTGTCAAACAGCGTCAACCAGATTGATTTATTTGTGACCTAATTACATTTTTTTAATTAGCGTTGTTGTCAATTTGCTTATATCTGAATTTAGAGTCTCTATTTGATGTCCAGTAGTGAGTTAATAACTGATATCTTGCTAAATTTGAATGGTTCAAATTCAAATTTAGCACAAGATTCAACTTGTTCACCAACTTGCTCAAAGTTCTATGTGAATGGCACTACTGTTCAAGTTCAAAAGTAAATTCATTCATAGTGGTCAACATACAGATACATAAATTATACATACTGTAAGTAAACACAACTAAAATAAAATAAATAATAGTGACCATCAATGGGATCAAGATTAGAAGTGAAACTTGTCTCACCATGACCCTAATGTTAAAAAAAAAAATAAATACATAAAAAACAAGACAAAAACAAATAAATATAAATAAATAAATTAACTGTGTTAATATTAATCATCATTGAAGGGATTATTATTATTATTATTATTATTATTATTATTATTATTATTATTATTATTATTATTATTATTATTATTATTATTATTTTATTTAGCCATCATTTGAAAATTATATCTGGCCATCTCATAGGTGCAATGTCTATTCAATGTTGTGTCACCCTATTTACATACCATACTTTACCTATTTAAGTTAAGATTTAAGCTACTTAAATTGATTTATGCTACTGAGTAAGATATAAAATATGATACAGGTCATGTTATGATATTCATTTAGGCACGTTTGCCAAGGATTGACAATAGCTAAAGTAATCACTTTCATATTTAATATGTAATAATCATTTACATAAAACTAATACATATAAACCAAGTATCATTATGAGGATTAAGGAGTGGAGTTGTATACCGTAAATTTAAAAATAGTACCACCACTCTTCCAATTTTTAACAGGATAATTTCAACATAATTTTGATAAGTTTACAGTATAGTATATTTGGATGTACCTTTGGTTTTTTTGTTTTCAGTTTTTCTATTCTTCTGTTGTTAGTTTGTATTTTCGTAAGCAGTTCTTGTTTAGGTGATCTCCTTATTCCTAGGCCCTGCTTAGAATTGTTTAAACTTTGTTTCAGCTTCAATGCCCCCTCGCTTTTAACTCACTCCTTTTAAAAATCAGAAATTTTACAAGCATCTCATCCTTTAAATCTAACCTCAAAAGGTATCTCTCTCTTTCTATGGTTTAGTTATTTTTTCCCTCTGCCTCTCTCCCCCCCCCCCACACCCTCTCTTTTTTTCTTCAGTCTGGCCTTAAACTTGTATTTTTTTTCACTTTGTTTATTTTTAACTTTGTTATTTTTTGCTTTTCTTTATTTTACCATTATTATTCTTCTTTTAATTTTTTTTTTTTTTTAGTCAATTTGAGTTTATTTTAAATTTTATTCATATAATATGTATATATATTGTAATAATTTCTTTTTCTTTGTTACTTGGTTTTTATTATTATTTATCATTTTAATTTCTTTGTTAATCATTTATATTTCCTTTGTTAATCATTTATATTTCCTTTGTTACTTGTGTTATGTATTGAGCGTCCCTAATGTTCAGCTCCGACTGGATGGACCACCCTCGTAAAATATTGTTGAAATAAAAAAAAGAAAATAAATTAGTTGCACATTTTATAGTTAAGTTTGTTTCATAATGTGTGAAAAACACATACAGACTCATGTTGTCTTACCTCTAGTGTGATAGATGATTTTCCTTTTCTCCTTTTTTTGCTGAATGAAGAGAACACACGCCTAATTAATTTCTGGGTTCTCGTTTTTTTAGGCATGTGTGCTGGTGCTGGTAGAGGTGCTGGTTCAGGTGCTGGTTCTGGTGCTGGTAGAGGTGCTGGTTGAGGTGCCGATTCTGGTGCTGGTTGAAGTGCCGGTTCTGCTGCTGGTAGAGGTGAAGGTTCTGGTTGAGGTGCTGGTTCTAGTGCTGGTTGAGGTGTCGATTCAACTCCCTCTGTTTGATTACCTTTCAGTTTTAATTTCTCAGCAACTCTACCTTCTAATTCATTATCATATATCAGCTTAATCCGTTCACACTCAATAAAGATTTAAAATAACAGTGAAATTCATCAAAGCTCAAGTCATAACACATAACAAAAGGATTTAAAGTTATATTGTTTCTTGTCTTACCGTCCATGTCCTCAGTTTCTTTCCACTTACAACCAACATCAGTAGTTTGGAAAGCAGTAGTCAAAACAATTCCATCGGTTGATGGTTCTGCTTCATTAAATCTGTGGAAATAACAGTCTAACACAATTTAGCATTACAAATTGTGTATGTGGGTCGAGTCGAATGGTCGAGCGGTAAGGCAGGGGCGCCGCTAGCTACAGCTTTAACATCGGCGCTGGTTCCAGCCGCTACTCGTTTATGACTCGTTTGGTAGAAGAGAAGCTTCTCGGATAAGGACTTAAAATGGAGGTCCAGTGTATACATCTGGCTCGTGTGCACTTTAAAGAACCCATTGCATCTTTTGGAGGAGTAGGGGGTTACCCTGATGTTATGGTTTATTTCAGCCCCTGTTGTGGAATGATGTGAACATGTATCTACCAAGAAGCGCCTCTTCACGGCTGCTAGGTAGTCACGGACCACGCCCATTTGCAATTCAGCACAATGACGCTGCAAGTTATGGGTTATTCTCCTACCTTTACCGTTACCTTTATGTTAAAGTGGATATTGTAGTATAAGTGCAATGGTGGATTTTGAGGAGGGAATCGCAAGTATCTTCGTATGAATTATAGATTTCATATATATTTGCAATTTATTGATTTATTGATGATTGGGCTGTGGATTACATGGAGGAGTAGCGGTATGACTAATGAACATTTGTACATTTTGAAACAATAATTGTTTTCATCCAGGTCCAGAGAATAACCCACTTCTGTGGCCATCATAATGTATTGTAATATATATAAAAAGAACATAAAATACAATTAACATTTAAGAGTATTAAAAAAGAAGAGTAATATGGCAACATTTATACCAAAATACATTGACAGATACTTCAGAAACTTACGGTTTTTCAAGCAGAGTGTTTACTAAACACGTTTTTCCAACGCCCTCCTTTCCAGTCACCATTAATCGTGCGTGGTTTACTGTGATTTTTCCATCTTCCAACTCCTCATTAAAAACCTTCAGAGCTGCTTTTCCTCTAGCCATAATTACTTCTGGGACTGCAATCCCTAATTTACATAGGCAAGAAGATAATGTTGCTCATCAATTATCAACAAAGTATAGAGAAATTTTCAAATATGTTGGTTAAGTACAAATAAAATTCTTTAAAAAAAATAAAAAATAATAAAGAAAACACAATCACATGGAAAATGCTTCATTATTCTAAAATTTCAAATAGTTGTTTATAACTAAAATTGAAAAAAATATAATTAGATATTGTGAAATAATTTGAAAACATGACTTGCTTACTAATATTATCATAAAATAATATCATCCCCATCATCACTGTCATCATCACCATAGCCACAGCCACCATCATCATCATCATCAATATTTTTTAAAATTAATATTACAACATTTGGAAGAAAGATAATAATGGTATTAGCATAATTTTCCAGTGCAACAAAACTTTGGTGATATAAACTAACAAAGAGGTACATGGAATTGATGATGACCACAAGGAGTAAACATCTGTGATGTACAATGAACTTGACTGCAAGACATAGTTTACAGCGGATAATAGTAAATTATTATCCAATTAATATAAGCAGGAAATAAAATTACATTGAACAACCTAATCAACAATAACATGAATAACTAAATTGTAGAAACTGCTCACCTTGCAGAAGTTGCAAGACTTCTTCCTTGTGTTTTTCTCTATTTGTAGAATCATACTCCTCACATTCATTCCGTATATAGAGGTCACGTGGCGTCTGATTGGTCTGTAAAAATAACACATAAAACTTAAAACAAATCAATATCGATCATTCTACTTTAAAAAATACTTCATATAAAGTATCACGCAAAAATAATCACAAGAAGTATCATAAAAGAAATATTATATGTACATATCAGTGCAATTTTCTTTTATATCTTGCAAAGATTCAATCATAAGTATTGATTATAAGACCATTCCCTTAATATTAAATAATAATAATAATATTAAATAATAATAATATATATTTTTTAACCATGGAAAATTAAAAATTGAACAGTAAAATTTAAATACAAAATATTAATGCTGTACTTCACTAATTCCTGTCTCTTATACACATCTAGATGTGTATAAGAGACAGGGCCTAGACTAGAGCAATCCCTTTATACCAAGTAATAGAAACAAAGTTAACATTTCTAAAGTCAAGATGCTTTGTGGAGTGGTTTACATTTTACCAAATAACCTACAATTAAGCTCATCTCATTCCCACCCTCATTCACCCAGCCATGGACTCTCTTCTCTCATATTAGGCTCCACTACTGATACTGTGCTGCTGTTTATGTAATCATTATCATCATATTATCAAATAATTTCAATCTGGTCTTGTTGATATTATCCGTCAACAGAAAAGCCAGAATTATTTTATTTATTTGTATGAGACTTCGAACATCATTAACAGACCTCAGAATGTGGAAAGTTCTGGGGTCGAGGCCTCCATGAACAACCTGTATACACTACCTAGCCATCCTCCATTCTTTAATCCTACATCAGCCACTGCTCAAGCTGTAAGCAAATTTTTTATTGAATTGGTCTTATTTTTATCTTCCACATCACCAATGGAACTGCAATACCTTCATTTAATAAAATATTTAAGATTCAAGATTGCTTTATTATCATTAACCAAACATGTGATGAAATAAATTCTTTTTGCCTGCTGCATAAAATGAAAGACATGGACAGAGAGTAAAAGGCAATTCAATTATTGATAAACATTGAAAACAATTAACGGATACAATATTATTATTGGAAGAATCATCATCATAAAATTATTAAAACACTCAAAATTTATGTATTAATATAAATTATTAGTATTTTATTAATATTACTATGTTTATACTGTAGGGATATCCCCAAAATACAATTTACACAAACATATTGTATTTCTTCTTTAATAGCAACAATTTGGTGACCATACATATTCATACAAATTTGAATGACATTATTTACTCCCCTATATATCTTGTATACAGTATTTTACCTTATTCTCTATATTTACATCAGCCTCGGCATCCAAAAGAAGTCTTGCAATATTAAGGTGATCTCTGAATTTATGTTTGGCTTCTAACAGCTTGTGAAGTGGAGTCTCTTTAAACTGTAACACATTGGAAACAAAGAGAGTGAATCAATAAATGACAGCTCATATGATCATATTAATCAACATTCAAAGGAAATCCACACTTATTCTTAAATTTTAAACTAAAATAATAATACAATTAAACTGAATGAGTGGGTAGGAATACAAACAAAAGTAATTTTTTTCTACTTGATTCTCTCTCGCCCGGTTCATCACTTTTAAGGATGTAACCTCGGGAGAAGTATTTATTATTTTTTTATTAAGTAATTACTTTAATTTTTTTTACTTTTGTATCATGTTATGCAAATTGCAATATTTTTTGTATGAATATATTTCATATGAATTGAAATAAAAGTGATTTAACATCAACATTCAATGAGTATAAATCAACACAATTAAGAGAAATTGTGATACAAATAATGTAAAATAGTAATTTAAGCAATCATATTTGGTGGGGTATGCACGTCATTAGGACCTTTGTGGAATTTCCCTACCAGCGATGTATACTTCAGTAGGGTGGGGTATGCTGGTCATAAGGCATTATTGGAGTGACATTCTAGTAGACAATATTACATTGTCCCTTGTTTTCTGTCATGATTTATTTCTATCATGTAATTATGTTGTGTGGATGGCCCACTGGCAATATGAAAGAAATTAAATACTGAATTGAATTAAATTGAATCTAGCAGAAATCATCAGAGAGACGTGGCAGTGCCAGGGTGGGTAGGGTGTGTAGAAAAACAAAAGAAGTTTGGATGGGCAAGTAATTAAATTTATGTGAAGTCTCATAGTCATATCCAGGGCCACTCAGTGAGGAGGTTGGATCAGAAATAATAATAATAATAATAATAATAATAATAATAATAATAATAATAGTAATATTAAATAATAATATTAAATAATAATAATATATATTTTTTAACCATGGAAAATTAAAAATTGAACAGTAAAATTTAAATACAAAATATTAATGCTGATCTTCACTAATTCCATGGATACAACAACATGGAGAACAATACGAAAAAGACGATATAAAATAGAACCATTTAACATTAGAAAAATTAGCAAATTAAATGGATTAATATACCCTGGCCTAGTAGATGGTAGGCCTAGCCTAGGATAGTCTAGCGTTGACCTGCTGTATTTTAATGCTAAACAAACATTTAGGGCTAGGCCTATAGACTTAATAGGAGGCTTAGGAGGCTGAATTTACTATGCCTATAATAATAGTAATTTACATCATTCATAAGACAATAATAATAATAGGCCGCTCGACTCCACCAGCCAGGCCTTGCATTTCACAGCAGCCTTCTATAGACAAGTGTCACCGTCAGACAGGCCTTAATCAAGTGCCAAGGTCTGTGACCTAAATAACACGTAAAAGTTTAAAATAATGTGTCTGGGCCTAGCCTAGCTTAGTTGGGCATCGAATTGGCTGCACAAAAAAACCTGTCGCAGTATTAAAAACTAAAACCACATGAGGCCTAGTAGGGCCTATAATATTTCACGAAAAATGTAAATTAGTATTTTTTGAATTGTTATCATTTAATTATTTATTGTTATTTATTATGTCTTGGCTATTAACAATGATAATGAAATTGTGATAAATGCTTGTGATGATGGATTAATAAATTTGAAGATGGTGAATTGTCATTTAGTGTTTATAATGAATAATGTGTTGTTTCCTATACGTACCTCGTTGTCTTGCAAATTGACATTGCGTGCAGAAATCATCAGAGATTCTCTCATTTCCTGTGCATAGCCGCGTGTTGCAAAGTGATGTAGAATACACTCATCAAAGCCCTACACAATGAACAAGGAATATGAAAACAGAGAATACAACACATCATCACTTTAAAAAAATATTTTTTAGGTAATTAAATTTTATGGAGTATCTAATTAAAATTGCAATTATTGAATTCAGTGCTCAATACAGATCAAAACAAGATCAAACACGATTGTGAAATTTTCATGTAAAGCTGATTTTCAGCAAACTATAAACCAATTTTTTTACATTTATTTTGCTGTATCACACAACATGGACGCCCTATGTTTTGTACATGTTAAAAATCATCATTTAAAAACCAAAAAATTAGGTATTGTATTTTTTATGGAAAATTTAATTAAAAGTATAACTATTCAATCCAAAAATTTTTTATGTAAACCTGATTTCCAGCAATTTCAGACAAGTTTTTTTTGGCCCATGGCATGATGAACTGCTGCCACTCAGCCAAGCAATGTAAAGAAATGTTATTTTTACACGTTAACGATGCGGAAATTTAAACAATAAATGATCAATATTGTGTATAAGAGATCGTAAAATACAATAAAATATCATATTTATATTGTGGATAAATGATTAAAATATGTTTTAAGTGTAATAAATTGTTGTTGTTAGGTAAGAATTGATGTAGAGTGGTGTATGGTATGTTGTGGATATATGCTGTGTTGTTGTATTTTGTGTGTTGATGTCGTAATTGTAATGATACATAATTATACCAAAGATACTAGAAATATTTCTAGTATCTTTGATTCTACTCACCCGCTGCACGTAGTCGACAGCTTCTGCCGTCGCTGATTTCAAAATCTCAGCGACGACATCACGTGGTGCGCTGAAGAACACAATCGGATATAATAACGGCCAGTCGCCCTACGAAAACAACAAAATACGATGATAACAAAACACATTCAACTATCACACATACACAAAATATCACATATAAACACTACTTAATCACATAATAATTACATTAAATAATCACAATCAATTAAATATTCAAATATTATTACAAATTAACTAACAATTTAAAGCTAAATCGTTTAAAATCGTAAATTTTAGCTTTTTTTTCTGAACGCTTTTCCCTATTCTTTTGCATTGAAAATTTTTTAGTTCATTTAGGGTTTTGTTCAGATCATAATTTTTTATGAATTTTGTATTTTTAACATTCCAGATATATTTCTTTTGTATAAAGGTTTGAAAAGAATACAGACAATGATATGTTTTATCCACTAGTTAACATTTTTCTTTATCATTAGGCCTGCTGAAAATTCCCTATTCTTTATCATTAGATACATACAATCTGTTACCGGTATCTCATTTGTTCGGAATCATATTTTTTTTTGAAAATCTATATTTTTAAGATCATATTTGACTTTCTCTTGAGTAGAGTTTTAAAAGTAATCCAAACACATATATTTTTTAACGAATATTTAACGATTTTAACAAGCTGTAAACCTATACTACTTTCAGACAAAATTTGCCTATTCTTATCATTAGACACATTCTGTAGGCCCATCTGTTCTTAATCATTTTTTTTTTTGAAAAGCTATATTTTTAAGATCATATTTGACTTTCTCTTGAGTAGAGTTTTAAAAGTAATCCAAACACATATATGTTTTAACGAATAATGAACGATTTTAACAAGCTTTCAACCTATACTACTTTCAGACAAAATCTGCCTATTCTTTATCATTGGATAGGGCCTACTATGGGCATGGGCTCCCATCTGTTCGGAATCATTATTTTTTCGAAATATTATATTTTAAACCTCGTAACTGCCTTTCTCTTGATTAGAGTTTTATAACAAATACAAATACTTATATATTATATTGATTACTAAAAAAGTTTAAAGCATCTTATACAAACTTCAGACAAAATGTGTTTATTCTTTATCATTAGATACGTACACATATTAATTTATAATTCTGTTTGGAATAACAATTTGTTTTGTATATGATATTTTATTTTTTGAATTAAAAACTCAAAAAGTGTTTAACTGGAATAACATAGAATATTTTGTTATCAATTACATGGTACAGCCGACAATGTAACGGAGTTACTATACAGTATCATGTAAGTATTGTGCAGTTGTTACTGCGTCAACAAAAACATCGAAACTCTAGGGGGCGCCAGACTAGTATTTTTGGTTATCAGATGATCGTCGCTCGTCTAAATTTACTGTGAAACCGAACCAATAGCTAGTAATTTAATGCAGACCTATTTTATTTTTGTATGTTTCTTTACTTATGTATGCTCCATGCATTTTGTATGAGTGCTACTGTATCAAAGTGGATACAATAATTGATTGATTGATTGATTGATTGATTGATTGACCGTGTTTTGACCCAAATTGAGTGGGGACATTAAGCCTACATTATTGGTAGCCAGATCCATTCACTTCACATTTAATTGATAAAGGCATGGTAACAGAAATTAAATATTTCATGGTTAACAATTACATAGTTAGTAGGTCTGGTTTTAGATTGAAATTTCCAACACGTAAGGAACAGAAAATCATTTATTCCCGACTCCATTCGTATAACTTTATAGAAAAACGTATCTCCCTACTTTAATT